TTGGCAACAGCGTTATGACCTTCAACATTCATAGCCTACTACATTTAGTTAAATCTGTACGTAGAACGGTGGGGGGTCACTTTTCCCAAAAACTGTTTTCCAAAAAAAAATTTTCCCAAAAAAATGTTTTCCCAATATTGTAATTCCCAAAAAGAAATTTTCCCAATCGATTTATTTTTCCAAATAATATTTAAAATAAGAAAAATAAAAATATAAAAATAAAAGAGGAGGGGTACTGAATGTATGCAACTTCACTCATACAAACAAATCATAACTGCATCTAAAGTGTCAAAATTTTCGTACATTAGTCAATTTTCTCGTAAAAATTTAACAGTTTGTCAAGGTCAATATATATTTTCAAATTTTGTATACAAAAATCACCTGTTAATCTCATAATGGCGGAATTGATTGAGAGCAAAAAATCTTTCCTCTTGCACATCGAAGGATATTTGTACTACAAACACTCAGGTACAATACAAGGAAGGTACTGTTACCCTGAAGATCGTACTATAAAAGTTGCAACACATATGATATGTGCTCTGGCTTTCGTGCCACCTCAAAACATTGCCCGAGAATTTGAGTCCTTGCAAAATGAATTACCAGAAGAGTTGCGTGAAATATCAGAGTACTTTGACGCTACTTATATTCGGGGAAAACCTGCAAGAGGCCGACGTAGACACGTACCTCCTCGTTACGTTCCGGATTTGTGGACTCAATACGATGCAGTCATTCAACAAACTGCAAGAACAAATAACATATCCGAGGGGTGGCATAACAAGTTGCAGGTCGTTATAGGAAGAGATCACCCTAGTTTTTACGTCTTTCTAACTGAACTACAAAAGGAACAGTCAGACACTGAGGTCATGATGCGGCAATTGCAATCAGGGCAGCAAGTGAAAAAAATAGAGATTCTAAGAGAATACAAACAGATAAAAGATTATTTAATATTGTTTCGAAATATCACGAATACGTCGCTAACAATGATGTCGTTACATATTTAAAATTACTTGGCCATCACGTTCGAATGTGATTATATGAAATGATCCAGTACTAAAACACAATTTTGTTAAGCATTCTTTATTTACTTTTACATAATTTGGCAAAAAATAAAAATTTTGTAAAAATACAACATTGGGATACGTTTCTCTGGGAAATATTTTTTTTGGGACAATTTTTTGGTAAAATTATTGTTTGGGAAAACCAGCACTGGGAAACAATTTTTCTGGGAATAAAAGTACTGGGAAAAAATTTTTTTGGGAAACAGTTTTTGGGAAAAGTGTCCCCCAATCCGTAGAACAGGACCTTTATGGACTACATCAACCTTTCCTTTCGAAGGTGCAATTTTCTACCTTAAACAAGCAGTTACAGGACCTAAAGGGGTTTTCGATCAGATAGCAAAATGATAGCAAAACTTAGTTTTGATTATACTCTCAAAAAACTTGCAACGTCTGAAAAGTGTCTTAATTTTTGTGAAAATATTTTCTCTCATTCTAAATGTAAAAATGCTGTCAAACAAAGTAATGAAATAGTACTTCTGGATACTTTGGGAGAAAATGAAAAAAGTGAAAAACTGTTTAAACGTTGCATATACAAGTCTACAATGTTCCATAGTACAAAGTACAACAGAACCACTAAAACAAATGACACAATTGTCGTTTTAATGTCTAATGAAATTGACGAAATTACAGAGTTTTAGCTTATAAATGGAAATACCTTTATATTATTAAATTTTTTTAGCGAAATTTCTGACAATGCGATACCAGTTTCTCATATAAAAAGAATTCAACGAACTACATTAATCGTAAAAGTCCCATTAGAATTAATTCAGGAAAAATTAATGTATATGAAAGTGGATAATACTTTTTATATTTCAAAATTGCCAAATACAATAGAAATACAGTAATAACTATAATAAGCTAGAAACCGAATTATTGTAAAATACATTTATACAGAACAGAAGGATTTTATGTACATGACTTTGCGATACGGCCTTTTAATTGAGAGTACAATTATAATACCGTTTAATAAGATTATTGTAACTAGTTTAATAATTACTAATTATGTTCAGAACTTTTATACTGGACTATTATTTCAAACACACTAAAAATTGTAAATATTTAATGTACTTAAATATATTAATTCTTGAAAATAACGTCTCATTTATTTTCTAGAGATTATCATAAAATAAAAACATTGTTTTAATTATAATAAAGAGATGAAAAGGGTAAAAAACAGAAATTGAAAATATAGGGAAACAAGACCCAAGTAGCACGGAATATTAAAATGTCTGTCTCATGGTAATATTACAGTAATATTACAAAATATTTCAAGAACACATTTAAAATATTTGATAGATTAATTCTTATCTTTTTCTATTTTATTATAACAATCTTTAAAAATTTTATGCTATAGATAGAAAGCGAAAGAAGGTTATAGAACTCAATGGCGGACATTTTCTTGTTTTCATCAACATTTCATGAACTTTTTATTGAAATACTTTAAGCTTTTCAATGAAATATTCAGGAAATATTAAGGAAATATTTTGTGCTGTGTAGGTATAGAAAAACGGCGATTAAAATCAAAACAAATGTGGATAATTAGAGATGATATAGTAAAAGATAGAAGGTTATAGAACGAAGATTTAAAGTTATAGAAAAACGGTGATTAAAAACTAAAGAAATTTGGATAATAAGAAAGGAGATAGAAAGAGATAAAAGGTTATAGAACGGAGTTTTAAATGTTATAGAAAAACGTCGATTAAAAGCGAAAGAAATGTGGATAATAAGAAAGGAGATAGAAAGAGATAAAAGGTTATAGAACGGAGTTTTAAATGTTATAGAAAAACGTCGATTAAAAGCGAAAGAAATGTGGATAATCAGAAAGGACATAGAAAGAGATAGAAGGTTATAGAACGGAGATTAATAGTTATAGAAAAACGTCGATTAAAAGCGAAATAAATGTGGATAATAAGAAAGGAGATAGAAAGAGATAGAAGGTTATAGAACGGAGATTAATAGTTATAGAAAAACGTCGATTAAAAGCGAAAGAAATGTGGATAATAAGAAAGGAGATAGAAAGAGATAGAAGATTATGGAACGAAGATTAAAAGTTATCTAAAACAGGTGATTAAAAGCGAAAGAAATCTCAATAAATAGAAAGGAAATAGAAAGTGATAGAAGTATATAAACCGGAGATTAAAAGTTTTATAATTTTTCTATCACTTTCTATCTCAGATATAAAAGGAGATAAAAAGTGATAAGATTCCTATCTCTTTACTTCCAGCAGGGTAGTTATCAACTACTAACTGCTGCTGCTTTTGCCTGCTTTTAACTACTATTTCAAATCAAAATTAAAAATTAGACTATGCTCGGAGTAAGACTTTTTTTCCTGTGTACTTTAGAAAATAAGTGGATTTCTAAATTTTAAATTTAAAAGGTTTAAATTATTAAATGGTAAAAATAATAAAAAATCATTGTTTCTTGATACCACATAAAATTAACCCACACAGCACAATATCTTGATGTAAGCTTTCCTTGAGCTCAAGCCTAAGATTCGTTAGCTTACAGCGAAAACTTCAGGAGAGTTACAAATGTCCGCTCTACCGTAAGCTACAGTGTAAGATTGTAGTCAGCGAACAGTTAAGCTTACTATAACCTTACTATAAGCATCCCGTAAACTTACTGTAAGCTTCGTGTAGTCTTAATGTGAGGTTCAATGTAAAATTACTGTAAGCCTCATGTAAACTTCTTTCCCAGATAGCACCGAACTTTACAGGAAGTTAATATGAAGTTAACGGCGATAGAAATTTTAAATGTCCTCAGAGTTTAAGTTAACACTGTTAACTTGTTGATAGTTAGAAAAGTAAATTTGCTGAAAGTTTTCCCTTGTAATTTTACACAACCAAAATTTTTATGGTAAACTAAAATATCTATTTTTATGCACAGATGTTTTCTATGGCAGCTAGGGCAGCGCAATACTTTTAAATTACATTTCCCTATAGACAAGCTATGAATGTACTAAAAAACATATATCTTGAAAAAAAAATATTTTTTTAATTCTGAATTTATCAGAAAAACCTTCTTGTATTTATGTAAACTTACTAAAAAAAACTTTCGGCAAATTTAGCTTTATAAATTCTAGCAAGTGAACTGTGTTAACTTAAACTCTTGAGAACATTTAAAACTTCCGAACTTAAGGTCGTTAACTTTCTGTTAACTTCTTGCAAAATTCGGTGCTATACTGTAGCTTAGGGTACAGCGGAAAATGGTAACTCACCTTAACCTCACTTGAAGTTTACGCTGTTAGTTAACGAATCTTATGTTTAAACTCAAGGGAAACTTACGCCAAGATGTTGTGCTGTGTGGGTTATGTCAATTTTTGGTCAATTTATAAGGATGTTTTTGAGCAAACATCGATCCGCCAAATATTATTTAACCTTCTGTGAGCACTATGTGAATAAAACGCTGTAATGATTTCCCCTTTCGTAAAAAATTGATTTTTTTACTTGTTTAGCAAGCAAAACTACACTGCAAAAAGAGGTAACTTACTTGGTATCTTATTCTAAGATACAAGTCGGAAAAATGCCATCTTACTCTGTCTTGCATCTTAAAGTAAGATGTTTTCCAAAATATCTTACAAAAATCTAGACACTTTTTATATCTTCAATAGGAATAAGATATATTTTCTGTTTCAAAAAATAAGATATTTAGTTGAGTCACATAAAATATCGTATTGTAAGATGTTTAGAAATGTCTAAGATATTTGAGGGTTAAGTTACTTGTAACTTTAAGATACGTATAAACTGCAAGTTACTAAAATACAAGATACGTAAAGCATGATCATAAAATATATACCTATTGATCGCTACGATTACTAGTGGCCAATTTTAAAAACAGCAATTTAGTCAAAACGCGACCCACCTAAGCCTACCCCCTCTACTGAAGTTTTTTTCTCTGACGAAAAAGTTGGGGTTAGGTTAGGTAAGCAAACTGTCAGATGTGCAAACGTTGCAACAACAAGACATAAAATGGAGCGTTTTAAATGTTTAATGTGCTATTTTAATGGTGTTTCAACGAGTCACTTAGAAAAGCACATTCGTCGGTTCCATCGAGGTGATCCTTTGTTTAAAGTGTCTTGTACGCACTCCCAATGTGGAGCAACATTTGTTAAATACAAATCGTATAAACAACATGTTCGAAGGTGTCACTCCACACAGAACTTACCGGAAAACAATGTTGCTCCAAATAATCAAATTAATATTCCTGTGGTACAAAGTAAGTAAAATTAAAAAATATTTTTTATTTATACCATTTTTTTGTTCTTAAAAACAAATTGTTTGTTTAAATAAATTAAAATATGGAAATGGTTTAACTGCTACTGTCTAAATAATGTTTTACTAATACTTTTGTTTACAGACATTGAGTATCCGATTGATATACCAATAGAGGAGATGAGTTGGAATACAGCTAAATTTATTCTTGATATACGTGAGAATTGTAAATTATCTCCCGTCGCAACCGAAATGACTGTTGATAGAGTAACCGACTTAATGAAACTCTACAATGCTAACTTCTTAGTGAGTATTACACAAATTCATTTAAATTTCGAGTTCACATTTTATTATTTAGACACCCTTCCAGAAAAATGCATTTAAATTACATTCTTGATCGTGAAACCAAGAAATAATAATAATAATAAATAACTGGAAATGCAATCATTAATCAGGAATTTCTAGGATATTCTAAATCTCCGATCAAGATAAACGTTTTTTATAAAAATTATTTCATTTAAACAATAAATAAAAACTATAATACATATTAAAATTGTTTAAAGGTTACCGCGGGTTAGTGAAATATGGGAAAAGCCATAGGAAATTTAATCAAATACATTGCAGGGATCCCAGATTATCACCATTTTATTAAAATTCGCATTTTTTCTAAATCTTATCACCTACATCACCTGTTTTGTTAAATTTTTATTAATTTTACATTTTTTAAATCATAACATTAATTTATGAAAATTCTAAATTTAAATTAATAAAAGTTTTATTTATTTTGTCATCAGAATTAGAATAGAAATCAATACTCTGTCTGGGAAGGAGGAAAAAGTCGTAAAAACAAATATCAGGAAAAAAGTTTTTTATTGGGTCAAAACACTGAAAATCATCGGAGTGGTTGCTGACATATTTTAAAAAAGTCTAGTTTTAATATTTTGTAAAACTAGATGAATTTCTGAGTTTAATGGTCATAATATTATCGTGTGAATTTTATTTCATTAAAAATTATTATCAATTCAAAATATGAGGTTCACGACGTGATTTCGCCGTAACCATAAATGTTGCATTGTTTATAAAAACGTTATTATTTAAAAACTATCAAATATTACATATTATTGTAATTATATATCATGTATTATTATATTTATTATGTTATTATATTATATATATATATATTTATTTATTTATATATATTATATTAAAATAAATTAAAATAAATAAAATAAATTAAAATTTATATTAAAAATATATATTATATTATATATAATATATTATAATATTATATTATAAATCAACCAACAAATTACATATTATTATTTGCAGGAAACATAAATCAATTTATTTTACATCAAAAAATAATCGAATTAAAATGTAATTATTTTACTTTAAGATATTTATGCGATTTGGAAAATTTGTTGAGTAAAAAAATTTCTTAAGTTTTCAAAGCTTGTAACTTTTTTCTGGATGCTTCAAAATATTTGGGGTTACGCACATATTTTAATTTTGATAAAATTAACCTTCTGTGAAAATTTTGTGAGGGTATTTTGCTTCGTTTAGAAATTAATAAATTTGAAAATTTGTCAATTAAAAGGGTTATTTCTAGGACTTAAAGTTAACAAAAAATATCACACCTCTCTCTCTTTTTATGAAAATAGAAAGAGAAGTAAAACTTTGAAGTCGTAGAATTAACCTGTTTAAGTAAAAATTTTGCAACTTTATTATTTCTAAAAAAGAGCAATATACCCTAACCAAATTTTCATAGCAGGTAAATTATATCAATATTAAAAATTGTGCTGAACCCAAAATTTTTTGAAGCATCCAGAAAAAAATACAAGCTTCGAAAAATTGTGAAATTTTTTTACTCATCAAATTTTCAAAATCGAATAAATATCTTAAAATAAAATAATTATATATTAATTCTATCATTTTAGATGTAAAATAAATTGATTTATGTTTCCTTCAAATAATAATATGTAATATTTGATAGTTGAACCTCATATTTTGAATTAATAATAATTTTTAATATAATAAAATTCACAGGATAATATAATGACCATTAAACTCAGAAATTCATCTAGTTTTAAATAATATTAAAATGGCAGAAAAAGTAAATTTTAATAAATTTCTTTAAAAAAAAGTCGAAAAATTTAAAATTTAATTTTTTTACATTTATTTATAGAATGAAGTAAGGAATCTGAGGCTATCAAACACAAACTTCGTCGATATCAGTTACATCGAGAGATTGTCAAAAGAAAATTATGATCCCGATGTACTGTTTAATGAAGTTAAATCGAAGTGGTACTTGGACAGATTTTTGATTGAAAAACTCCAGATGTTTTCAGCAGTGCCATTAAAACTTGGCACATCTTTGAAATGGGTAAAAAAAATGAAGATATACCTCATTTGATGGAAGTCGAAGATGAGGCCCATTTGTAATGGGGAATTATTAATCGTTAATAATATTTTTAAAAAATTAGAAAACAATCACACGTCTTTCCCCAAAATTAAATACTCTCCACAAATCTTAAAATACACCAAAATCAAAGGGGAAATCCTGCCAAGGATAGGGCGATATGAAACCCGTTCGAAACAACGCCTTATTTTTCCGTTGAGATAACTAACCTTCGCGAGACTGCTTGGCGCCAACGATGTCCGATGATGCCGCAAACGAGGAGGAATCACCAACGAAATTATTCCAACGAATAAGCAATTCAAATAAAGAAAACGCACACTTTTACCACATACAAAAAACTCCAACTTTATTAAATGAATTAAATAAACAAATAAATTAATTATAATTAAATTAGATAATTTAATTAACCCCGACTCAAAGAATATATCTCGCTCGAAATAACTAATCGATTTGGTGCTAGCCAGACAAGTTAGGTTCCAAATTCCCAATTCTCAGAAACAGGCCCGCTTTTCCTAAAATTTAGTGCATCCTTCTTGGTAATTCGAGAATCTGCATACGTCCATCCTCGTCACCCCCAACCGGTCGGCACCTAAAGGGAAAACTGGAAGGGACGCAGACCACGTGACTCTAAGCGTCGATTAATCATGCGCGTAATCATTTCTAATAAGACATGACAAGAGTCACACCTTCCGAACGTTGAACGAAAAGAAAGACGAAAAAGGAGAAACGAGACAAACCTATACGAAAAGAAGGAAAGACAACCTTATCTCTCGCTAGACACCGACTCAGAAATTCGTTTTAATTTTCAGGGGATTCTTGCTTCTAACGAAACACTTCGTTACACATTATGTCCCATTTTTACGAAGTCTGAAACAATTACTACAAAATAAAGAAATTCGCGACAATATTAATGAAGGGAACGTCCGAAACGATGGCGTACTTCGTACGGTTTTAGACGGAACGTACTTCAAGGAAAATGAAGTTTTTCAACAACTTGAAAATCCTCTCGCTTTAATTTTTTCTTATGATGACATTGGAGTTGCAAATCCCCTTGGTTCCTATGCCAAGAAACACAAGCTTGGAATGTTCTACTGGACTTTGGGAAATTTACGTCCTGAATTACGTTCAACGCAAAATGCTATACAACTGTTAGCAGTTATAAAAGTAAACTTGTTAAAAAAATATGGTCTTAAAAAAATTTTAAAACCATTCATTGACGAAATAAAAATACTTCGAACGAGAGGACTCAAAAATTACAATCGATGGTCGAGAAATCATCTATAAAGGTTTGGTTCTTTTCGGCGCTGGAGATACTCCTGCCTGTGCTGGCTTAGGGTGTTTTAAAGAATCCGTTTCTGCAAAACTGCTTTGCCGAACTTGTTTGATAACAGCAGACCAATGGAGATCGTTTTTTAAAGATAGTGATTTTGTTTTTCGAAATGCAGAAATGCATCAGCAGCACGTGGCAGTTATAGCCGAACCAAATGTGACGAAAGCAACGACTACGTTTTGGAAAAGGGAGTATGGAGTGAATGGAGAGTCTCCTTTGTCAGACATCATGGACGTCACCAAATGTCTGCCTCAAGATGGAATGCATTTATTTCCGGATGGTGCATTAGAAGTCTGTACGAGAGCTCTTCTCCATCATTATATTGTTGATGAGGGTCTTTTTTCTGTTAATCAACATAATGAGAAAATTCAGGGTTTTGATTTTGGTCACTACAAAAACAACAAGCCTGGATTGATTCATCGTGATCAACTAGAAAGAGACTCCAGTTTAAAACAAACTGCATCACAAATGATGGCTCTCGCACATACTCTGCCATTTCTCATCAGCGAATGGATTACTGACGAGGAAACCGTTTTGCAACCGTTGTTGTGTCATGTACGTATGCTGCAAATTGTAAACGTATGTTTTGCATACGAAATTTATGTTGGCAAAACATACGTCTTAGAAAGAATTGTATCCTGGATAGATGGGCCCAAAATTTCATTTCATTGCTCACATACCTCGTTACAGAAGAATGTTTGGCCCTGCTCGTCAGTAGTGGTGTTTCGGGTTTGAGCGAAAGCATGGGTATTTCAAACTGTTGGTCGCAATCATAGAAAATTTAAAAAATTTGGGTTTGTCTTTATGTTATCGCCATCAAGCAAGGCTTGCTTTGTTATTTGTTACTTATCCGGGAAATGAATCGAAAAAATTCTTGTACCAAGGTCACGAAATTGTAATTGGTTAACAAGTATTGTTGAGAAATTTTCCTCACGAGAATTTATTTCTCAATTTCGTTCCCAACGAGGAAAGAGAAACAACAATTCTTCTTCGATGTAACCATGTAACAGCCCACGGAACTCAATCCAAACCACAGCCGATTATTCTGTTAGAATGTAATGAGGACGCACTTCTAATAGGAATATTTATATTCTTCTAATTATAGATTAAAATAAAATATAATTGTAATAGATCACGAACGCGCAGAATTTTACGGCTAAATTCAATAAACGATAAATTGGAATATTCTCATTACAGATTAAAATAAAATGTAATTTTCATAGATCACGAAAGCGCAGAATTTTGAGGCTGAATTCAATAAACGATAAATTGGAATATTTATATTCTTCTAATTGAAGATTAAAATGAAATGTTCGAATAATATAAAAGCTATTATTTATTTATTGACCATTTCGCTCTACATATAATTGTATTTTTTATAAACTTCTAGAATCACTCTTTAGTCTTAAATTAAAATGTTTTTAAAACTAAATAACAAACGTTAGTTAATAAAATTTAATAATAAGTAAAACGATTTAAATTATTCTTTAATATTCCCCAGCGACGGATTTTAATTTTAATTTATGCCAATCGAAATTTTATTTAATCGAGCGCGTAACAATGCTGAATTTTCTTAGTTAAAATAAGGTTATTCAGATAAGCGATGAGGAAATAACAGCGCGACATACAATAGTTTGCAAAAACAAAAAGTAATAATTTTTGTACACAAGGTTCCTCACTCGCGTTCTATATCAAAATACAAAAACTTCGGCGATTCCTTTTTTAACAGCGCTTTAACGATAATAATACTTTTTAAAAACTTCCTTAATCACATTTTGCTATTCTTAAACTGTAGCTTGAGCGTTGGATTTTAATTTTAATTTATGCTGTAAATCGCGCAAGAATTTTGAAATTTTATTTGATTTGGCGTTCGTCAATCCTAAAATTTCGTAGTCCAAATATTGCAGGGTGTTCAGATACGCAGTGGGGAATTGGCAGTACCACACGTAATACGCCGCAAAAAGACAAAGCAATGATTTTTGCGCTTTGGGTTCCGGGATCTTTACTCGCCCATCACTACACACGACAAAAGCTTCGGCGATCCTCTTTTCTGCAGTGTAGATAACTAATCTTGGAGACGAACCGTCAGCTGTCAACAAAGCTGACGTACTTTTCCCTGCTTCTTCAACTGTGATCAACGGTTCACCGATTTTTCGAAATTTCGCCAAAGTCAAATTTTCGTGCAACATGGTCAAAATGTTCATTTTTTGTTCCTCGTCTTGGCAATCGACATCAAAGTAGGTTACACATTTTTCAATCATCTTGTCAACCAATTCGAAAAATTGCTCGACAGTTTTTTCGCGCATAATTGAAAATTCCAGGATAATCTTAACCCATTTCGTCCGAGAAGTCCGTTTTTTTTCCTCCTCATTTGCTCTCGCCATTCTCAAAATTCCTGGACTAAAAAAAATTGGCAATAGGTATTTCTTATGTATTTTTTAGTCCTCTTTCGGAATCTGCAAGAAAATTTAACTTTTGACTTAAGGATAAAAAGTTATGATTATTTAAACAAAAAAAAAGACGGATTTCTTGGGTTTTTTTTCATTAAAACTATATTTTTGATTTGAAATCGCGTCAGAAAAAATTTGGAATGACAAAATATCGCGTCCAAAATGTCTGCCCTTTCATTTGGTGATTATAAGAAATTTTTATTTTCTCAAAATTCAAAATGGCGCCTCCAAAATGGCCGCCAAAATGTATGAAATTAAATCTTTCAGTCCCACTATTAAAAAACTAAACAAATATCTACGAAACTTGTTACTCGGGGGTTTTCGGGGTTGCTGATACCGAATTTGAGGTCAGATTATCAAAATTCAAAATGGCGGATCCAATATGGCGGAAGACATTTTGAAAATCGAACGCAATCGGCTTGACACTTGTTACTCGGGGGTTTTCGGGGTCGCTGATTCCGAATTTGAAGTCAGATTTTCAAAATTCAAAATGGCGGATCCAATATGGCGGACGAAAAAATAGTACGGCTGATAAAGTGACAGATAAAATAAATACTAAACGCATTTTCTATTGGAAATGACTGAACTCATTATAAAATTAACATTTTTAATAAAATTTTATCACTAGATAATATTTAACAATATTTATAAACAATTTTATAAACAAATAGTGATTTGAAAGACTTTCATAATTGGAAAACAATAATTTTTTTCTTATCCTTGTTTTTATAGTTGCAACGAATTTTGTAGATAAAAAATCTTTAACAATATTATTTAACAACATTATAAACAATACTATAAACAAGTTAAAAATTAATAACAATTTATGCTGAGTAATGAGTAATATCATCTAAAAGCATTAAACTGACTGAAAGGAAGGGCATCATATCGCGCTTGCGCGGGATTGTAGTGGGGAGCCGATTTCTATTCCCACTTCCATTTAAATTCTACGATAGGTAGTCTTCGAACGCTGTATAATTAATTATTTTAGAAGCGATTTTTAAATTGGAAGTAAGTATATCTTTTTTTTATTTTTTATTCTTATTTCAGATGTGGAGAAAAAAAAGATCAAAAAAATCGTCCTACTCTGAGCATGAAATTCTGCAGAGTGACAATTATGCTGACGTTTTAGTTAATTTAGATAAATTTGATTCCAATGAGTCAGATAGCTTTACTGATGATGATGATGATACTATCGGAAAATTATTATTATCATCATCATCATCATCAACTGACGATGATGATTGTGACTTTCCGACATCTTTTTCTAAAGTATCAAAAAGCTATGTTGCAAGTCAAACAAAATTGGAGTCTCAACATAAATATACCTTGGTGAATAATGAAAGGAAATACGATTTTGACGCTAAAAATGATTGCTTACTCATTGAAAGTCAAAAAGAAAAATTTAGTAAGAATTCCGAGACGGAACTATTTGAATATTTTTTTTCTCATGAGTTGAAGATGTTCATAATTGAAGCTGCTCAGGAAAACGGTTTGATTATGACACTTCAAGAATTAAACACATGTTTAGGAATTATGATTCTGACGATATTTAACCAAAGGACTGCATATAGAGATTATTGGTCTACTGATAAAATGCTTAATTGCGAACCTATATCCAAGGCTATGACGCGTGACAGATTTGAAAGCATAAAGAACAAAATAAATTTGTCCAAGTCTTGTGATAAAAATTCGCACGACAAAGCTTGGCGCGTACGTGCTGCATTAGAAATCTTCAGAAAAAACCTGCTACAATTTGGATTTTTTTTAACTGCCTTGTCTGTCGACGAAATGATGGTTAAGTTTTTCGGTAGAACGGTATTGAAGCAATTTATAAAAGGAAGGCCTGTACGTTTTGGAATAAAAATGTGAGGTATTTGTAGTGTAGAAGGTTTTTTATTTGATTGTGATATTTATTGCGGCAATTTAGCAATAATAAGTAAATGTGCTTTGGGAAGTCGCGTCGTATTACAGATAGTAAACAAATTACTCTTGTTCACTACACCAAGGAAATTGAATCAATATCATTTATATTTTGATAATTATTTTACCAGTCCCGATCTGTTGGTACACTTAAAAAACCTTGGCTTACGAGCAACTGGTACCGTAAGAAATAATCGTGTTGGTACTAAAAACGACATCAGTAATAAGAGTCAAAGAGGTACTTTTGTCGCCAAACATGACAAGAATAGTGGATTAAATTTTGTAACAGTTATGGATTCCAAACCGGTGTCCATATTATCTACTATGTCTGGAGTAACGCCTATTGGCAAAGTTGAACGGTATTTAAAAACAGAAAGAAAAAAGCAGAAATTGACTTTCCTCGATGTTTTTTGTATTATAACAAATTCATGGGGGGAGTTGACCTACATGATGCCTATTGTAGCCAACTGATGCCTCCTATTAAAGCAAAAAGATGGACGTGGACAATATTTAAGCGATTTATCCAAACATCGCTCGCAAATGCCACTGTGCTACGGAATGTTGCATTTGCAGAAAGTGGAAAGAGGGTAAGCGCAAAAGACATGGCTTTAGCTGTAAGCAAGGTATATTTACAAGAAATTAAAACAACTTCGAAAGTATTCCACAAATCGTCAGTCCAAGCTTTAAAAAGGAGCTGTGAAAATCAAATCTGTGCTACTCGCACAAATAAATTTTGCAATGATTGCAAAAAATACTTCTGCAAAGAATGCTTTCTAAACTTGCATAAATAAGCAGCAAAGAAAAAATAGTATTCGCTGTCTTCCAGGATTTAATTCGTGTTCAACACTTAGTTTTAACCTTTAAGCTGCGGGATTGGTCGATATATCGACCACTCAAGAAACACAACATATTTAATGTTTCTAGACAAAATTCAATTTTGAATTTTGAAAAACTAACATCAGATTCGTAATCAGCGACCCCGAAAACCCCCGAGTACCAATTTTTAGCCGGATTCGGTTTTTTTTATTGCACATTTTTTTGATTGCGGGGGTGGTCGATATATCGACCAGCAATCAGGTCGGGGACTCTACCTGATATATCCAGTTAATTTATGTATAAATTTTGGATTTTATGACAGGTCAATTTGTACTAAAATTTTCCCGCAGCTAAAAGGTTAATAAAAGTAGAAAAATTAATAAATATAAAAATTCAAAAAAAATATAAAAATTAAAAAAAAAAATAAAAATTAAAAAAAATAAGATTCTTGACAAACGTTAACCTCCTAGTGGTAAGAATCGGGCAACGGCGACATCTTCGGCGGCTAATAAACGTTTTAAACACATTAAAAATAAATTTATCAGACAGCCAACAATTTCTTTTAAAATCTTTTTTAAATTTCAGTCATTTTGACGGCCGTATTATTTTTTCGACCGCAATATTGGATCCGCCACTTTGAATTTTGAGGATTCGAAAAATCTGACTTTAAATTCAGAATCAGCGACCCCAAAAACCCCCGAGTAACAAGTGTCAAGCCGATTGCGTTCGATTTTCAAAATGTCGTCCGCCATATTGGATCCGCCATTTTGAATTTTGAAAATCTGACTTCAAATTCGGAATCAGCGACCCCGAAAACCCCCGAGTAACAACTGTCAAGCCGATTGCGTTCGATTTTCAAAATGTCGTCCGCCATATTGGATCCGCCATTTTGAATTTTGAAAATCTGACTTCAAATTCGGAATCAGCGACCCCCGAGTAACAAGTGTCAAGCCGATTGCGTTCGATTTTCAAAATGTCTTCCGCCATATTGGATCCGCCATTTTGAATTTTGAAAATCTGACTTCAAATTCGGAATCAGCAACCCCCGAGTAACAAGTGTCAAGCCGATTGCGTTCGAT